GTTTGAGGAAGACCCTTTCCTATGTTTAGATGATAATGTCTTGGTAACTGAGGCAGAGGATGGACAACTCTATGCTTTGGCCATGGAGACGGTGATATTAGGAGACAGAATGGGAGAAGCTGTTGTTCTCTCTAGTGGTTGAGGAGGCGGGTATCTCCTCTGTATGGAAGGAAAATATCTTCATGGGGAAAGTGAGCGTGGATGTGGAGGAGATGGAGTCTTCTGCCATGGTGATGGTGGTGCTATTTCCCTGAGGAAGAGAAGCAGGACAAGAGACAAGAGAATGCTGCCTTCTGGTTGGTGGTGGGGAAGGACTTATCCTAAGAGATTTCTTTCTGATGCTTCTGTGGTGATGGAGAGGCACTTTAGGAAGAAAAAGGTATCCATCATCTTTTTTTACCTTATTCTTCACAAGAGACCTCTTGGGTCACTCATCTTCTGAGAAGGAAGAATCAGAATCAGACGGACATTGCTGGTTCTGTCAATTGTATTAGTGTCTCTGTTGCACAGAATCTACTGCTTCCATTTTGCCCCCATTATCGTCTTCCAATTAAAATAACTCTTCTTTTATAGGTTTCAGTGCTGGTGAAGGGGACACTCTTATTTTTTTCTCTGTAGCTTTATGCTTTGTCCCTTTATCTGAAGTTTTTCCTGCAGACAAATATTACTTTTTCTGGTATGGATTTGACTACTGGGGTATTAGAGAATGACTTTTTAGGGATGGAGTTGCTGGAGGTGACTGTCAGATCTGTTATCTTGAAGGTCTTGCTGAATGCAGTAATCTATGAGTTTTTCAAGGAGAACTGAATCCTTTTGGGTGGCTTTGGATCCTTTTGGGTAGACTGGGAATGAGATGGGTATGAGGAGCTACTACTATCAGGCAAGGATGCAGTTATGAGTTCTGTGACAGGGAGATTGAGAATGACTATACTTTCTCCATTCCTGATAGAAGTTAGTCTTCCAGAAGGAGATCTGGATTTTCATTTTCTAGGGCTCCAAGATCTCTCCCTTTTTTCTTCAGCTATTTCCTTTTTCTTATCTTTCTTCATCTTGCTTTTTCATCTATGACAACTCTTCTTGTTCAATTTGTTTCTATTTTAGTCCTTTCCTTAATTTTAAAAATGAAAGGGTCCCAGCAATGTTTTATGGCACACTTAACAGCAGGGGCCACAGTGCTCCCACAAATTTTCTAGCAATTTTCCATTTAAAAACTCAGGCAATTTGGTTTGCATAATTTTGAATTTTGGATTCTTCGCTTCAAGCTAGTTGAATATAAACTCAACCAGAACATCATCTTCAAACCCAAGGATTTTCATTACTCATTTTGTTATTCAAGACTTTCAGCTTAGCTTTGAAGGAACTCAGTAAACAGCACATCCAACCTGATAATAGGAGATATTATGATGACTTACAGACAAAATTACATCTGGATTAGCTAAAGTGATTTAGATTAAGGGAATAAAAGTTGGTTCAGTCAAGCTCAAGCAGCTGTACACAGGGTGTTTTCCATGATCAATTTTAAGAAGAAGAGTATCAAGATTAAATAAGGGCATTTAATGCTGTATGATATTAGGTTTGACTTCACAGAACTTGATAGGAAGTGAGCAGAGTAGAGTCAAAGCAGATTTAAATATGGCAACTACAAGGAAACAAACATGTAAAAAGTTTCCTAGTACTACATCAGTGGTATTCTCCACTGATTTTGCAGTCATGTCTACTGTTGGGAAGAATGGAAACCTATTGCTACTACAGGTTTTAGTAGAGTCTGTGTTTCTTGGATTGAACAGCAAGTTTCCAGATATTTTGTGTACCAAAAAAAAAGAAAGGGAAAACTCTAAGTCATAGTTGAGAAAGTCAAGTGCAGGCATGTTTAATAAAACTTCTTTTTCTTTTATTTATATCTCCCTGATCTTCTGGTACAAGCTGAAAGGAATCTGATTTCATGGCTTATAAATGTTTGCCAACAAGAAGTTAGTATTACAATTTCTGCAAGAAGCTCAAAGTTGTAAAAACCTCCTGTAATCTTTTGTTAATACAAGAATAAAAAAAAACCCAAAAATTATCTGCTTTTAAGGTCAATAAAAATACCTCCACAGAAGTTATATGACCTAAATATGGGAAGGAAATCTGGAATAACTACAGCTTTTCTTTGGATTTTATGTCCTCCAGAGACTCAATGTTTTAGTAAAGCTATGCTGTTTTCAATACAATTCTGGCTGGAAGTAGAAATAACTATCAAATTATATATATTGTAGCAATTTAGAGTTTTTTACAAATAAGAAGAGCTTAAAATCTTCATGGAGGATTTGGGATAAATACATGCGAGAATCAATAAATCTCCTGGATAATATAGTCCAAATAAATTGTTGATTCTATCAAGTGCAGTCAGACAAGTATTATTTGTCAAGGAGAACAGGAATGAAAGAGACAATCACTACAATGATTTATAAATAAAATTTGTGTCATCCAGAGGAATATTAGAAAGGAATAAATGGGGCTTTAAGACAACAAGAAATCAATGAATTACGATGTGGTTAATGGTGAACATACTTTGAACAATCTCCAATCTCTATGCTTGAATTTTTAATAAAGCAAACAGGGGCATTACAAAGGTTGGTACAGTGGATGATCAAAACTTTAGAAAGTCTTGAATAAGAGGAGATTGTTCCTCTTAGACTTGTACTTTAAGTTGATATTGGCGAGTCTGGCAAGGACTTTAATGTATCTATACTCAGATCTTAATGGATCTGCTGATAAAACGTGTCACTTCAGAAGAAATGGTGCCCCACAGAGTTTCAGGAATTGATGAAAAAGCTCAGGAAGAGGCAGATTAGATGGAGCTAATCTCTATGAATGACCAAAGCCTGGAAGCAGCAAGTGGTTCCTTCCATTTAAATAAGTTCTGATTCAAGTTCTTAACAGAGTTTCAAGACTTAAGCCCATTTAATAGTATTTTTTACTTTTCTGTGAATTATAAATTCCATTTAGAGTTAGATAAAAGCTGAGTTTAACAAATTAACAGTGTAGCCAAAGCTAAATAAAAGAGAGTCCTAGACTTCAACAGGACCAAAGATACTGAAATAGACTAAACATGAGTCAAAGTCTGTTATTTGTTAGTAGCGTGCCTCTGACACTTTTGAGATTTTTAAATGTCCCACTAGGGTTTCCTGAAGAGAAGTTGGGTTAATAATGGACAATGTGGTTCCAGTAGTAACTAAAAATTTGGCAATGCTTTCCATTGATATACGTAATAGTATCTCTGTGTCACTATGGGGGAAAAACTATTGTATCCCTGGAGCTCTGGCATTACAAGGCTTCTACCTCAAGCTGAGGTTTTCCTTTTGGTTTTCAATTTATAATATTAATGGTTTTTCTGGCCAAGCCATTATATTAAGACATATGACATGTCCGAGCTACATGGGGTATGGCTAAAGATAAGGAATTTTGAAGCTCCTCATTCAGAACTTCAGATTTTTTTTCGTTGGGTGCTTCAAATTCCAGGGCCTTTTGGAGATCTTGATGAGAGGAAATGTGATATGCTTCTCTGAAGTATTAATTCTTATCTGAACTTATCACTTTCTAATTATAAAATATATTCCAAGTACATTTACAATGCTTTCATCTAAGTATTATTTTAATGCCTCAGTTGCTTCCTTGTCCCCTCTTATCCTAGAACAACAGATTGTTAAGTATGTAAATTACATCATGTCTCCTGCCATGTCTACACATTTCAATTTGAAAAAACAAAATTAAGACCTATAATATCATATACACCCTTAATATGACCTATAATATCATATATACTCTAGACTGATTGCCTCTCTTTCTCCATGCCCAAACACAAATAAGCTTCGTTTCCAGTCCTTGGGAGAACAAAAACCACTAATGTCCATGTTGTGTTAACTGTACCTGCTGTTTCCTCTTACTGTGCTCTGGAACTTCCTTTCATATCAGATTTCACAAAAGTCTTCTTCTCTATGAAACTTCCCTTACAATCTTTAAGCCTGCCCCTATCCACTCAAACTTGTTTTCTCATTCTATATTTCTGTCTTCTTGGCACATATCACAAATAATAATCTTGTTCATTTATTTAGACTTTTTATTGAGTGGAACAAATAAATTAACATGAATTACACAACTTTGAAAAGGCAGTGGGGAAAAAAAGAAAAGGCAGTGGAGACTTAGAATAGTTGGATGGTGGTATTATTTTTCATTTACTCCCTCATTCACCTCATTCTGCTTCCTAGGCCAGCACTAGGTCAGGTCCAATTAGCCATCCTCAAGGTGCAGATTCAAATCAAATTACCAAATCACCCATTCAGCCAGGCAGAATTCAACAACTATGCCACAAATTCACTAACCTCATATAATGTAACCAAGTAATAAAAACTAAGCTTTATGTCTTAAATGTTTTTAAAGAAAAAAGAAAGTACATAAAGAGTATTTATTTGTTGTCTTACTCTCAACAATTTCAGAAGTTAGATTTTAACTTTTTAGTTACTTTTAATATAAGTGTGAGCAAACACTAGTGATGACTTATATTAAGTCCATCAACAACTCAGTAAGGTCAGAAAGGTTTTCTGAGGCTCTATTGACACAACTGGTCAAGAGTCTAGCTCTGCAAGAAAAGCTGAAGGAGGAGGAAGAAAAGAGAGAGGGACACTGATGAAGAACTCAAGCCCAGAATGGAGTAGGGCCCAGAGGTATCAAGTTCCAGCCACTTCAACGATAACCTAGTTCTCAGTGACACTAGAGTCCACTGGTTGCACCTCAGCTGGTGACACACAAGTTACTAGTGTCCAAAGACAACCCAAGTTGGGAGGGTGAACATGGTATGGCAAACTTGATAAATATCATAGACTTGGCAGGGTCCAAAGGTATCATCTTAGAGGATCTGTCATGCACAAACTGTGTCCTGCAAAATTCAAAGCTCTAAGAAGTGCATGTCTTGGTAAGCCATCACAAAGAAGAGCAGTTGGGGACAAAAGATACCCTAGTGACTAGTGGAGTGGGACACTGCAGCACCCAGAAGCTTTCACAGGGTGCTGGTGTCCAGGACTCAAAGGTATAGGGCTGTTCACAAAAGGTTCATCCTCACACAGAGGTTGAGGCTCAGGACCAGGCACTGTGTGTACTGTGCTCATTGAGAGGCGCCTCTTGGCTGGAGCCTGGGTATTCTGCTCCTGAAACCCAAGTACCCTAGGACGACGGCCACGACCCCTTCTGCCAGGTAAGGCTTGGATATGTGGGGAAGAAGGACCCAGGTTCAGCTGCCGGGGGTACCAGCCAGGCTCCATGACGCTATGAGCAGTGGCAGTAGTGGTGGTGGCAGCAGTGGTGACTTCAGGTTGTGCAACTGCATCACAACCCTCAGGGGGACATGGGGGGTGCCCAGAAGGCACAAGGGAGAAGTGGCTGGGATTACCTCCGGTAACCAAAGGCCTAGAGGTGCGAGGAGCCCGGCGTGGTGGGCGGTGCCGTAAACCCAGAGCTGCTCGGTCAGGGGCCCGGGTCTCCCTCCAGGCCATCAGCTGTGGGCTGCTAGGCGCTGTGGGTTCTGTGTGGTCCACTGCAGGCCGGTCCTGCCCCCGCTTCCACAACTCGTAGCGCTCGGGCTGCAGGATGCGCACAAAAGCGTCCATGGAAAACGTGACCCTGGCCTCCCCACAGCTGCACTGAGATGCCACTTTGCCATAATCCACCCAGCGTGGGGTTGCAAAATTGATGGCCTCTGCACAGTTGAAGCCGTGGTTGAAGCCCGCGTGGTAGCCGTATGGGAAGGTGACCATGAACTCACCAGCCTCCTGGGTGATACGCTGGAAGGGGATGCCATTGTCTCTGAGGACCCCTGGTGAGATGAGAGCCACTTTGTGTCTCAAGAAGGCCTCACAGCCCCGCCTACTGCCGGGGAAGAGCTGGGTGGCCAGGCGTTCCAGGCGCCGGCCATGCTCTGGGGGCACCACATACCATGTCTTTGGTGCCCCAAAGTGCAAGTAGTTGATGCTGTACAGGTCCATGTCCTCCGTGTGCCAGGCAAATGTGGTCTTCCACATGCCGAAGTATAGGTAGGGGGTGTTGACACCTTCAATGACAACCCCACACTCCTGCTCAAGTAGATCCTGAACTGTTCTCAGGTTTCCCAGGTTCCAGTGTTCAGTGTTTTCATCAAATAAAGATCCACTGATGTCAGCACCATAAATTGGGGCATCATAGAGGCGGCTCTTCCAGTACTTTCGCTCCAAATCATCAAAATCCAGGTGTGGTGGAGTGCAGTATTTCTCACTGTTGGCCAAGTGGCGATATTCCCCCAGGGTCATAGCTTTCTTCTTTTTATGATATTAAGTAAAGACACCTGCCCGTCCAGAAGCGACCTGCTGCAGTGGGGCAGCAATGATTATGTCACCAATGTCATCGTAGGTCTGCCTAGCTCTCCACTCCTTGGGCGGAATGATCTTTGCCAAGCCTGCTCGGTGTGCACCTTGGGATTCCATGTAAGCAATGTATTTATCGAAATCATTAAACTCTTCTTTGGTTGGATGAAATATCATTATATTACAAGTTGGGTTCTGAGCACAGTTAGCCTTAGACTTCATAGTTTCAAGCTAATATGTAGTCACTTTTCTAGGAATGGTTTAGATAATTGAGTCCTGCTTAAAATTGCTACTAAGACAAAAACAAATGGGTTGATATCTTTGAAAGGCAGGAGGAATCAACCCAGAGGAGATTTTTAAGAAAATGAGGTGATAATGTTTCTTGGGTTTGCTGATTGACCAGGAGGACTCTGCTCTGGAGAGTAGTTCTTACACAGATATTGATGATGATGGCTGAGCCTGCACATCTATGATGTTCCTCAGCTGACAAATGGCTGTCTTCTTGAGGCTGCTGTTGACTCACCAAGATCTGGCTGGGTATCCCAGCTGCAGCAGAGTGGATCCCCAAGGTAGTGATTCAAACTTAACCTAAAATCAAGAATACAGAGAAGTTAAAAATTAAAGTCTAAAGCATTTTATGGAACTACAAATTAAATACCACATATTACACACAATGAAACATTACTTACAACACACTCAACAGAATGGATATAACAATTTTTAAAGGACTGACAATATAAGTGATGGTAAATATGTGAAACAATAGAAATTCTTATATTCTACTAGAAAGAATAAGAATCACTACAATAACATTGGAAAAACATGTTATCCACTAAAATGAACTATGTTCCATGGTCCAACTGCTTCACACACCTAGGAAATGTGCACTGAATATCATGTCCAAGAAGGTTCATAAAAACATTGAAAATGAGCAGAGGAGGAGGAATCATTACCAAAAAAGAAAAGCATAACATGTCCTTAGTACCTGAGGTTCTGGCGTTGAGACTCTTACTCTCAATGGGAGATGGATGTCAAGACATAGGGTGATCAGTCTGTAGATGTTGAAAATAGATAAGAATCTTCCCCTAGAGATGAGAGAGAGAGAAGTCATCCCCCAGAGCTGGTGCCCTGAATGCAGACTTCTAGAGAAAGAGAATAAATTTATGTTTGTTAAAATGACCCACTTGTGGCATTTTATTTTAGCAGCAATGATGACCTAGACAGTATTCAAATCTAATCAATGGAATATTCCAGAAATAGGCATTTATTTTAATTGTAGAGGTGGTATTTCATATTTAAGAGGGGGAAATATATTATTCAAAAATTATGCTGGGATGACTTACTACTCACTTAAAAGGAAAAAAAAACCCATAATTTTTCTTCACTCTACCCCATATTATGTTCTAGGTAAATATTTAAAGTTAGAAAGAATGTAGAAGAGTGCTTGTATAGATTCAGGATGTGGAAAAAAATTTTAAATGAAGAATTTAATCTTTTGTAGTTTTACTTATTTTTTTAAAACAACAATTGAATAACAATTACAATTAAGTAAAAACATGAAAAAATATGGTAAAACTTTTAACAAGTGTCATTTGGTGTTCAATTTTCAAGTTTTCAATTTTCAAGTTCAAGTTTTCAATTTTTGCCACTTACTACTGCTTTCTTTTTCTTCTCAAATAAATACTCAAAAGGATAAAAATGCCTCAGAAATCCCATTATCTTCCAGGTCCATTGTTGTAACTAATGACAAATTTAAAAAATAAAAAATGTTAACAAGGAAAAAAACACCCAAGATTTTCTTCACATAAACCTAAAACTAATTAAAAAAAAATAACACTTTAAAATCTTATGACTGTGGTGGGAGGGGGTAGGGTGTTAATTATAGGGTTGCACAATTTGATGGGTGCGTGGGGTGAAGGATATGGGAAGGATCTTTTGTGAAAAACAATGTATTCAAACTTTGCAAATAAATCAGAATAATATATATATTAAAAACAAATAAACAACAACAAAAACCCCACTGGTTTTCAAAAAAGCAATTCTGCCCCACAGAGCACATCTGATAATGTCTGAAGATATTTCAGTTGGGATCTGGCAATGTTGCTAAAGATTCTACATGGCACAGGACAGCCCCTGCTTCGACCCTCCAATAAACAATTTTAGGGCACAAATATTTCACAGTGACAAGGTTAACAGACTCTGATTTAGAGAAAAAGTTATGTTCCCCACCTGTTTTACACAAAAACAAAAATCTACATACTTCTTCATCCTTTCTCAGCTCACAAAAGCCTCCAATTCTGCTCAATATTTTCTAATTTTATTAATATAAATTTCAAGAGGTCCCTTAATACTCAGGAGATGTATTGTTTTGGGCAAGTCTCCTATTAGAGATCTCTCCTCTCAAATAATGAAGAGCAACGATGTCAGTTTGAAGATTCAGGTATGCCTGATTCAGGCCATGTTCATTTCAATTACCTGCATGACTCAAAGAGCTGGACAAAAAAATAAAATTGATGCCTTTGCGTTGTAGTGCTGGAGTAGAGTACTGAATATTCCATGGACTGCCAAAAGAACAAACCTAGAAAGGGTGCAGTAAGGGTGTATTTTGGAGGCATCCTTTGGATGAAGCTTCGTCCTTTGGGCATGCAGCTAGGCAAGGCTATTTCTTGGAATGGGACATCATACTTGGAAAGATAGAGGGCCAGCAAAGGAGAGGAAGCCTTCCAATGAAATGGACTGACACTGTGACTTCAGCAATGGGCTCTAGTGTCTCAGATGATGAGATGGCAAAGTATAGGGCAGGTTCCAGGTTGGCTGTTCATAGGGTCACTGTAAGTCATACTTGACTCTACAGCATCTAACAACAATAATGCTTCTTAAAAGGAACCCTGGGTGATCTAATGGTTAAGAGACAAACAAAAACATGATGGTTTAAATTGGCTAAACATCTCCATAGAAGGAAGAACTGGCTCTCTGCTTTCATGAAGATTATAGTCAACAAAACTCCACCAGGCAAGTCTATCTACTCTCCCAGAGGATCACTAAGAGTTGAAAATCAGTTCATTGGCATCTAATTCTAAGAACAACAACAATCCTCTTGAAAACAAGTTGACTGGATCTCATGACAACCCATGTGTATCAGAATAAAAAAACATGGTCAATAGTGATTGTAAAGTTTTAATTTTTTGTTTTAATTTTAGTAGACTGACAAATAATTCTTTTGTGGCCATTCTGGGCAGACTCAAACTTCCAACCTTTTAATTAGCAGCCTATAACCTTAACTATTTGGACCACTTAGGGACTCAGCTAAATTCTTAGTTTTTCAACTCTCTAAAAATTCTGTTTTACCCTTCGCACTTGCTGTTTATGTACCATCTTGTTAGAACTGATTCATAAGCAGGTCTTCAGAGACTGTAAATCACATAGGAACTGAGCGCCCATCTTTCTCTAGTGAAAAGACTAGCAGCACAACTCCTTACCACTAGGGCACCAGAGCTCCACTTAAAATCCTTAAAATGGCCCACCATGACTTCATGATCCCAACCCCTTTGCTGCTAAACATTCTACACCTTTTCTCCAAACAACTCATTTTCCTCCAAATTCTAACCACATTTCTTGCTGTTTCTCAAAAAAGACAAGTAGGCTCCTGTCTTATGGCTTTTATCTATAAGCAACCCTCTTACCTCTTTCAAGTCTAATCTCTTCACCTTCTCAGTGAGGTCTACTCTGATAGTCCTATTTAACTTGCAGCCTCCCTTCTCTTCAAACTGCCTCCTTCATCCTGTTTTATTTTTACCCCCAACAGTATTTAATGGTACTTAATAGCTTCAAATATACTACAAAATTTATAATATGAGCTCTAGAAAGCAGGAATTTTTTTTTAATTATGTGTTCCAAGTACCTAAAATAGTAGGTGGAATAAGTTGTTATGTGCCATCTACTGGTCTCACCTCTACTGGTGAGTCAACTATGACTCACAACAACCTTATGATTGTGGTTCTGAACCTTGCCCTATCCTGAGCCAATCTCACAATCTCTGACATACTTGCCCCAATTGCCACAGGCACTGTGTCAGTCCTTCTCATCCTGAGTCTTCCTCTCCTGTGTTGTCTGTCCCTCCATCCTTCCAGGCATGATGACCTTCTAGGATTTGTCCTTCCTGCCGACATGCCCAAAGTATGTGAGAGGGAACTTCAAAATAATTACCTCCAATAAGCAAACTGGTTTTGCCCTGTTCAGGACAGACTTGTTTTAACTCTTGGCAGTCCATGTTCAGTTCAATACTCTTCCCTAGCACCACAACTCAAATGCATAGATTCCTCTTCTGTCATCCTTACTCACTACCCAGCTTTCAGAGGCATAGCAAGCAATTGAGAAGACCAAGGCCTGGATTAGACACATCTTAGTCGTTAGACGAACATTGTTGCTCTTTAGCACTCTGTAGTAGGTGTTTTATTTTATTTTAATTTTTTTTGATGAATTCATTTTTTGTACTCTACTGGTTATTTGCATTTTCTATTTTAAAATATTACTTGAGGTATTTTTCAATAATCATATAATAAAAAGGAAGTAATTATGTTAGTTGTTTATTTAAAGGCAGAATGCCTTTCTATGTTGCTAGCCTTTACTTTCAGTGTTAGACTACTCTATAAGCAAGGTAAGTATGAGTTTGTTTGCTGGTACTGACTTTCTAATATATTGTAGCAGAATGGGTTTAAAGTTTTTCACCATGCCAAAAATTCTGCTTGTAGTATAGTTGGCATTTGTCTCTCTCCCTATGCCACACAACCTTCCTAGAGTATCAAAGTCTCTTTTCACAATTATACTTTCTGAAAAGGACAGATTACTCAGTCAGCAAGGTAAGCAATGGCTTACTTGTACATATGTAGTAATCCATAGTGGTACATATGTAGTAATCCATAGTGAAGAATTTCACATACTTTTCTCAACATATAATATCTAGTAAAATCTACATGAAATCTATATGTCCACATCAGATTAAGTAAACTTAAGTAATTCCACGTCCCCTGTTGTTGTTAGATATTGATGAGCTGACTAGCCTCATAGTGACCCTGGGAACAACAGATCTGAACCTTCCTTTATCCATGCCATCCTCATGATCTCTTTCATGCTCAAGCCCACTGCTGTAGTCACCATGTCAGTCCTTCTAGTAGAGGTTCTTTCTCTCCTTCACTGACCCTCTACCTTTCCCATATTTTCCCAAG